ACAGTGTGAATCAACTTGCACACACAGATGTCCATAGAGCAGCATATCCATCAAGAGCAGAATACATTTTCTTTTCAAGTGCACATGAACAGCCTCAAAATAGGCCATGTGCTGGGCCACAAAGCAAGTCTCATTACAGTTAAGAGGATTTAACTCATATGTAATATGTCCTTCAAGTGCAACACAACTAAATGAGAAATAAGCGACAAAAGACTAATCTACCCAAAGAATGCCCAAATATTTGGAAATTAAATAACATAACTATAATAAATTCAAGGGCTAAATAAGTAATCAAAGGGAAATGAGAAAATATTTTGAACTAATTAATAATGAAAACACAACTTATCAATATCTGTGAGATAAAGCTAATTCAGAGTTTAGAGAAAAATTTGTAGCTTTAAGTGATTATACTAAAGGAGAAAAGGCCAAAAATCACTAATCTAAGACTTTTCTTTGGGAAGCAAACAATAACAACAAACTAACCCAAGTAAGAAGAAAGGAAATAAGAAAAGGCAAAAATTTAATAAAATATAAAAATAACAACAGAGAAAAATCAATAACATGGAAGTTAGTTCTTTGAAAAGATCAATTAAGTTGATAAACCTCTGGCTAAACTGATCAAGAAAAAAGTCCATAAATGACTAACGTCAAGCATGAAGATTTGCAGCCAATTAAGTCAATGGTGCTCTTTTCCCCATGGTTGGGGGGCAGGGGTTCTGTGTGCTGCTTGCAAACGACAGCCTCCTGGGTAGGTTATGCAGCCTGCTGCCTGTTCAGCTTGCTCTAAGGGACCTGGGACATTCATGACTGGCATGCTGTCCCCATTCTAGGCTCCAGACAGGTATACACGGTGCCTTTGGAAGCTCCAGGGCACAGTGGCCAGGATCCACACTGGCCAAGTTACAATGTCCATCTGCACCAAGATATAGAGCAATGAGTGTGTAATTGAAGCCCTCCAGAGGGCCAAGTTCAAGTTTCTTCTGCCAAAAGGTCCACATCTCCAAGGAATAGGTATTTACTAAGTTTAATGTGGATGAATTTGGAGACATGGTGGCAGAAAAGCAGCTCCTCTTAGGTAACTATGGGGTCAAAGAATCCCCAGTCATGGCTCCTGGGACAAATGGCGGGCCCTGCACTCATGAGAGTCTTGGCTCTGTCCCTTCCTTACTCACGCCCACCAGTAAACCAACTTTCCTGTCCAAAACAAAAGAATGAAGGAGGACATGCCACTTAGATGTACAGACATTACAGTAATAAAGGAAAGTTATTAATAACTTTATGCAAAGACATTTGACAGTTCAGTCGAAAATCACAAATTTCTTGAATGTCACAACTTGCCAGAATTTGTACAAGAAATAAAAATTTTGAATAGCTTCTATCTATTAAAGTTGTTGAATTCATAGTTAAAAACCTTTCCACTAAGAAAGCTCCTGACCCAGATGGTGTCACTGGAGAATTCTATCAAACACTTACCAATGAAATACTGGCAATCTTAACCACTTGCTGAAAATAAATAAGGATGAATACTTCCCAACTCATTTTCATAGACAAGTTTTACCCTCATACTAAAACTAGACAAAGACTGGGACTTCCTTGGTGGTCCAGCAGTTAAGATTCTGTGTTCCAATGCAGGGGACCTGGGTTTGATTCCTGGTCAGGGAACTAGGTCCCACATGCCACAACTAGAAATCCCATGTGCCACCACTAAGACCCAGTGCAGCCAGATACAGAGATAAATATTTTTTTTAATTAGACAAAGATATTATTACAAGAAAACTGTAGATCAATGTCATGCCTGAACATAGACACAAAAATCCTTAATAAAATATTAGTTTGGGACTTCCCTGGTGGTCCAGTAGTTAAGAATTCACCTTCCAATGCAGTGGACTCGGGTTCAATCCCTGGCTGGTGAGGTAGAGCCCAAGTGCTTTGGGGCAACTAAGCCCACGAATCACGACTAGAGAAGCTTGTGTACTGCAATGAAGAACCAGCACGGCCAAAACACAAGAATTAGCTGATTGAATCCACCAGTACAGAAAACAAATAATCCACCGTGAACAAGTATCCCAGGAGCACAAAGCTTATTTTAACATGAGATTGTCAGTCTATGTAATTCACTATATTAATGAAATAAAAGAGAACACATAATTCTCTCAATAGAAGCAAAAAAATTATTCTACAAAACTCAACACTCATTTATGATAGAAACTGTCAGTAAAGTAGGAATGCAAACCAGAATGCTCAGAACTACAAAACATTTTTGAGAGAAATAAAGAAGCTCTCAGAAATGGAGAGCTACACCATGCTCCTGGATTGGAGGGTCCCAGTTCTCCTTATGGGCTGGCTTCCTGGGGGCTCAGATGGTAAAGCGTCTACCTGCAATGCTGGAGACCCGGGTTTGGTCCCTGGGTTGGGAAGATGCCCTGGAGAAGGAAATGGCACCCCACTCCAGTACTCTTGCCTGGAAAATCCCACAGACAGAGGAGCCTGGTGGGCTGCGGTCCATGGGGTCACAGAGTCAGGCACGACTAAGTTCTCCTTGAGCGGTCTGGACAGCCAGACCAATGGACCAGCAAGCGTCACTGTGTGCTTCGCTTCCCGAGGAACGGCAGCTCAGCCCCCTCCCTCGGCCCTCACCCCTCACCAGCTGCCAGCAGGACGCCCTGCTGTCTCCCTTGGAAGAATGCAGCAGCCTTCTGGCCGGGCCCTCCCTCCAGTCCATTCCTGAGGCTTCAACCAGACTTGTGTCAAATAGGCACACACCTGGCCCTGCTCAAAACTGGGCCCAAGAGTGAGACCAAGCTCTCCAGCGGCCCGTGGCCTCCCCTCCGCTCTCCACTCTCGCCACGCGGCCCAGGCCACTCCCCGCAGACATGGAGAGCTCCAAGCACTGAGGGTGCACGATCCTCCCAGCCCTGCCCTGCAGCTGGCTACCCCAGGCGGGCCGAACCACACCCCCACCTCCACCCCCCGCGTCGTCTGTCACCTCACTGCCAGGCCTCTCTGGTGACCTTGGGCACACCGGCCTGCCTGCCTGGAGGGCAGGGGTGCCCGAGGCCTCATCCTCACGGGCTCACAGAGCGGCCTCAGGACGAACGGGCCAGGGGAGCGCGGTGTGCACAGGGCTGTGTTGATGCCGGCAGGCCCCCTCCGTGGGGCTGGGCTGAGGGCTGAGCCCACAGGCTTGCACGTGCATGCCTCGGCGCCCCAGCTTCACTCCTGCCCAGCCCCCGGACCCTGCAGCGGGCCCTCAGGGGTCTGCCCAAGCCGGGGCTGGAGGCTCGCCCAGCAGCCTCGCCTCCTGGGTGGTTCGTGAAGGACCAGGAGTCCCAGGCACCTGAGGACAGGCCCTGGCCCTCGTCTTTGTGCAGGGCGTGGGGGGCAGCGGTCTGAGGGACCCCGAGCAAGCTGGCTCGCATGCCGTTCTCAGGGTCTTGCTGTCTGGGCACACGCAGTCTGCACTTGCTGGGAATCAGAGGAATGCCCCGAAGGTCAGTGCACAGACCAGACCTGCCCCAGGCTGCAGCCAGAACCCCCAGCTGCCTCTGAGCTCCCCTGGGGCCCCTGGCGAGGGAGAGGACTGGCGGGCCCTGCCCGCCCTCAAAGCTTGTCCTCAAAAGTAGAAAAGACTTCGTCTGATGGAGCAGCCATGTCCAAGGCCAAGTGTTGGGGTCATAAGACCTAGAGGGTCCTCGGAACAAAGTGACTTCTCCCTTCATTTCAAAAGGCAGTAAAAGCTAGGATGAATCTGTTAAACACTAGGGAAGAAAAAGAAATTCAGTAGAACTAAATGAGGCAGACATGGGACACCGAGCCAGGCACGGTTATGAATGGAGAGAGAGACACAGACAGAAAAACGTGCCTGGAGCGTCTGAGCGCCTTGGCCCTGGCCTGGCTGGTCTTGTGCCCTCAGTCTGACCCCGTCCTGCCTCCTGCCCAGGACATCCTGCCCCAACCCCTGCTTTCAGGGCTCTAGGATCCCGATACTCACCCTAGAAGCTCTGCCTCTCCCAAGGCTGACCTGGCCTGGGGAGGGAGGAAGGGGAGAGAGGAGATCCAGGATCGAGACTAGGGAGGTCTCGGCTCCCACCGAGGAGGTGCTGCCCGCTGAGCCCGGAGCAGGAAGTGAAGACCACAAGGAAACTCAGGCAGGCGTTCCGGGCAAAGTCTGCCTGGAAAGCCCAGGACAGGAGGCGGCCTCCCCTGCACACACCCAGACCCGCCCACCTGGGTCAGCCAGGAAACGTGCCCGGGAGGGAGGCAGCATTCCCACAGAACGGGGACCCCTCCGAGGTGGGCCCTGGCCCTGGACACAGCCCTGGGCTCCGTGCAGGGCCCTCAGCTTGGCGTGGGTGCCGTGGAGCCCAGAGCGGGGCCTGGGTGCGCGTCAGTCAGTGCGGTGGAGGCTGTGGGCAACAGTGGGCCTGCCCGGGACCCCAGGCCCTCCCAGAGCCCGGGGTCTTGCCTTCTGCAGCCCCACTCAGCCCAGGAACTCTGCGCTGGGCCTGGGGGCGGGAATCAGATGTGACATTAGACAGGCCCGAGGATTCTAATGCATCAAGACCTCCACCCAGGGCAGGAGGGGACGGGCTCAGATGGAGAGGACCTCTGAGGACAGGTCCCTGTCCCTCGTCAGCAGACCTGGAGCTACCCCAGCAGACACGTCCAGACCGAGGACTCCAGGGCAAACCAAAGGGGAAGAGGCTGGACAGGGGACAGGCCAGAGCCTGCCCACACTTCCAGCAAGGACACTGGAGCCCAGAGAACATGAGCTGCTCTGTGATGGCTCAGCTAGGAGGTGGCTGCCCCGACTGGAACCGGCCTGCCTGGCACGGAGGCTGGCCTGGGGAAGGAAAGGCCCCCTCAGCTCAGCGGGCTGGTGCCTCTTGCGAAGGGATGGTGTAACAGCTGGTGCAGGCCCAGGGGCTGACGGTGGGAAGGGGCCTGGTGCAAGGGGCACGGAGACCACCCCCGAAGGCGCCCTGCCTCTCCGCGCCCAGATACCACTTCCTCTGGCTCGGGAGGGCGAGGCCGGCACCTGCTGCCCCAGGCGGCGGCCGCCTTCCCATTTACGGTGGCCGTGGTCCTGGCCTTCACCCGACTCCTCCGTGGGACCCCAATGGCCCAAGGGGAACCGAGGGGAACCATAGGTCACCCCTCGGGCGCCTGGGGAAAAGCTGGCAGCGTTCCGCCCTCCTGGGGGTTCTGGCGCCTTGCCCGGGGGTGAGGGGCTGATGGTGACAGGCAGTGGGTAGCATCTTCTTTTTCAGGCTTCTTTGGAAGGGGAGTGATCTGCAGGGCACCTGCCTGAAGCCCCAGCTCTCTGTTCTCTCTGAAGCCACGAGCCTCCCAGGACCAAGCAGGGAAGGGAAGGTGGTGGTAAAAGGCAGAGCTGAGACGCAGTGGCTGGCTCAAGGGCGCCCCCAGAGGCCCCCCAATGGCCGGGGGCGGGGGTAGCAGGCAGCCGGGGCTGGCAGAGGGAGTGGTGTCTGGCCCACGGCTGGCTTGCAGTGAAATTGGTCATCCGGCCGGGGCTGTCGGGCAGGGGTGAGCTGGCCAACCGCAGAGGCCTCTGAGGCGGGGGGGACCTGCGGGTCTGGAGAGATTTCCTGCCCCCAGTCCCCGGCCCCCTCCCCAGCTGATCTCAGGACGAGTTTTTCTTTGAGGTGGCAGCAGCAGCTGCAAACAGCACACGCCGTGGAGGCTCAGAGAGAAGTTCCATGCCAGGGAAGCCCTCGGCCGAGGCCTAGGAACCAAGAGAAAACCCCGTAGACTTGGGGCTTAACCACAGACGCTGACGCCTCCAACTCTGGAAGCTGGACGTCCGCCGTCGGAGGCCAGGCCAGGCTGGTTCCTGGCGGAGGCCCCGTCCAGGTTTGCAGGCGGGCTTCTGTGTGCCCACATGAAGCCCTGCTCTTTCTCCTGAGGATGCCTGAGGCCAACGCCTTCCCAGAAGACCTGCGTTTAAGCCCCGTGCGGGCCCCTGGGTGCAGACCTCAGATCTCCTTCCCTTGTAAACATCCTGCACCCCAGAATTGTGTCGGCCTCTACGGTCTGAGAAGAGGCGATACCGTGGGGTTCGGAGCCGGGTCGCCCACTGGCCCTGGGGGCGCCAGGACGGCGGCCCTGGCACCGGCGTGGTCTTGTCCTGTCTGGGCGCTGTTTGACCGGGGTGGATCGGGGAGGGGCCGAGGGGGCAGTGGATTTGAGATGCAGGAACAGGAGCAGCTCCAGGGGATGGGCCAGGGGTGAGGCCGCCGCTGGCTGCAAGGGGAGCAGCCCCAGAGCAGGGCGGGAGCAGGCCTGGGCCCGCTGACTGCAGAGGTGGCCGGGCCCCAGAGGAAGGCCGCCTCCCCCGGCGAGCGTGCAGGACAGACTCCCCACGTGCTGCCACCACCAGGCCCGCAGGCCCTCGCTCCGTGGCTGTGCTCAGGGAGGGGCGGGGAGGACCAGGGCCCAGGCACTCAGGCCCGCAGCTGACACTGCCCCCGCACCGCGGCGGGACGCAGCGAGCTGCTGACCGTGCACCCTTGCCAGGACCGCTCACGTGGGGCGATGGGATCACTTCCTGCTCTCCAAGCACGAAACTGGGACAGCCACGTGCAGAAGTCCAACTCCCTCTCTGGGGTTGGAGCCCAAGCGGGAAGGCCAAGGGTGAGACTGACGCCTCTGCCCTGCCCCCCAGACAACAAATCACAGATGGTACCTCGGGGAGGGTGGGAACGGGGACCCCCTTGAGGCGCTGAAGGCGTGCGGTGGTCCCCTCAGGGGCAGTGGTCCCACCCTATCTCCCCCTGACTCAGAGCCAGGGTTTCCGGGGACACCGCCTGCTCCCAAGGAGCTGCAGGCAAGTCAGGAATGGGCAGGAAGACCTCCCGCCAGGACCAGAGGCCCTGCAGCCCCTCCCAGGAAAGGACGTTGTAACTCCAGACAAGGAGCCCAACTGGCCAGGCACCCCGATCACGCTGACAGCATGGTGCAGAGTCAGGGACGCGTGGGGACAGGAGACACGCCAGGCCAAGGCCAGGGCTCCCCACTCCTAAGTGGTTAGGGGTTTAGGGGACTGGGGTCGAGGCCTGCAGGGACACCCCCACCGAGTCACGAGCAGAGGACTGAACCCTGTACCTCCGACATGGCCACTGGGAACCTGGGGGTGCGTCCACACCTGAGCGCCACTGGCTGGGAGACCAGAAGACGAGGTGGTGGGGGGACCTCGTGTGGGTGGGCACCCACCACCGCTCCCGCCCAAAACCTGTCATGCGCCTGTCTTCTCACCTCTTCCCCTCACCAGCCCCGCCCTGCTGGGCCCCAGTCACCCCCCACATGTCAGCGGCCAGTGGGAACCCCCACCTGCTCCTGCCGACCACCTGAACCAGCTGGACGCTGCTCGTGTTTATTTATAAACGTGATCCTAAAAACGTTTCTAATAAATAGTTCAAACAAGATCTGTCTCGACGCGCTCCATCTGCTGTACGGCCTGTCTCCAGGACAGCGGAGAGACTGTGTGGAGGATTCCAGAGGCTCAGTCATGAGGACCTCGGTGCCTGCCTGGGCTCTTCCTGCGACTCCCGCTGGACCCCAGGGCTGCTGCTCCTGGGACGCACACAGGCCGGCCGCCGTGGGTCACCAGAGCCCGCAAGCAGGGTCAGCCGCTCAGGCTTTCATCACTGCCGTGAAGGAGGCCTGCAGGAGGAGGGGCGGGGGCTGGGAGGCGCTGTCCCGGCTGGCAGGTGAAGACCACCCTCCTCGCCTGCCCCGGGGCTGTCTCCAACCCGAGAATCTCTGCCTGGGGCCCATGGGCTGGCCGCTGGGAAGGGCTGGGAAGCAGCTAAGACCCCAGGGCACTGGGAGGGCCCTCCCCTGTGGGCCCCACACGCACCTCCTGGAGCGGCTGCCCCAGCATCTCCTGGCTGTGAATGGAGTGCCTGCGGGAGAGAACGCCACTGTCACCTGGGCCTCCCGCACCCCGGGGGGCGGGGGCAGTGAGCTCCAGGCCCCTCACCCTGGGCGGGTGGGGCGTGGGGGGCAGTGAGCTTTGGGGCCGTCAGCTCTCCTCCACAGGCCTCGTGCTCTGCGGGACAGGTGTGAGTCGGGATGTGTGGGTGACTGGGGGGGAACCAGGGGCGGGGGTGCTGGGGACACGCACATGCACAGAGCCCCGGTGCCCACCTGTCGATTCTGGTCTCCACGGTCACTGTGAAGGCGCCCTCTGTGTCCGGCAGGTAGGTGGAGGGCACGATGTGGTAGGCACCGGCGGGCAGGTGGCAGAGCCGGCTCACCTCCTGGGCATAGCAGTGCGGCACGCAGCTCAGCAGAGGCTCCTGCAGCAGCAGGGAGGGCGCGTCCTGGCCCGTGCCGTCCGCCGGAACCTGGGGGAGGCCGGGGCTCAGACGGGGGACCCACCTGTGGGCGACCAAACTGGCTGCGGCCGCTAGGACTGCAAAGGCCAGTCCCTTCCTGCAACCTCGACCTGGCTTCCTTCCCGGCGAGGTCGCCCTGGCTGGGGGCAGCTGGCAGTCTGCCTGGCCCTTGTCACACGCCAGGCCCCTCACTGGGCCCCATCACCCACATGGCCCCGTGCCTGGGGACCTGCAGAAGCGCCACCATGCTGGCCCCCAGGCAGGCACCTCACTGTCCGTGCACTGGCCCTTCTCTCGCAGCCCCTGGGGACCCACCCCGGTGGCCTGGGTGGAGCATGGCCACAGCATGGTGCCCACGGCTGTTGGGACCCCAAGGGCATAGGGAAGAGCCGCCCCCACCCAGGCCCCACGACGGCACAGCTCTGGCCCACCTTCTGGACCACACCCTCCTAGGGACACCGGGCCCTGCCCAGCCCCATCCTCAAGCAGGGCCCCCATAAGGGGTGGGGAGTTTGCAGCCTCTGGCACTGCGCTGCCCCCCCCAAAGCATGTCCTGCATGCATTTCAGAAGGGCGGACTGAAGCTGGGAACGCACTCTGGGTGGCGCTGTGACTCCCTGGCCTTCTCAAGGCCACCTGCCACCCGACCCTCGGTGGCTCCCAGGACCCAGGAGCAGTCTCTCCTCTGTGGGGCCCCGGCTCCGGGCCTCGCGGGTTTGGGGAAATGGCACTCTCTCCCGAGAGCGTCTCTTCTCTCCTGTCTGGGACTCGGCCTGCCTTGAGCTACTGGGCCTGGAGCGCCTCGGGGCCCCACTCTACGTCCCCTTTCTGATCTACAAGCCCTCACTGGGTGAGTGGCGCATCCGTCTGTCCTGCTGAGGCGGTGTGGGCCGTCCCCCTCCCTGTCCCCACAAGCCCAAGCCCCCACTGGTCCAGGCACTGGAGAGGGGCAGGGGATTCCCGTGGCTTCAGGGAGGCGCCTGCTCGACCTGTGCCCACCACGCCCTGTGGGGGCTCCTGGCTGGAGGCGCCGTTCTGAGGGCAGCTCTGGACTCCCGGGGGCATCCCTGGGGGCTCAGCTGGTAAAGAATCCGCCTGCAATGTGGGAGACCTAGGTTCCATCCCTGGCTTGGGACGATCCCCTGGAGAAGGAAAAGGCTACCCACGCCAATATTCTGGCCATGAGAATCCAGGTGGCAAAGAGTTGGTCACAACTGAGCCACTCTCACACCTCGCACAGGACCCAGGCGTCCAGCTGCTCTGAGCCCCGGTGAGCGGCCAGGGCTGCCTGAGCTGACCGGTGACCCCGCGACCCCCGTGGACTAGACTCTAGGACAGCGGGACAGGAATCTGGCAGGGGCTGACTGACGCAGGCAGACCCCACCCGCCCGGTGCCTGCCTGGAAGACGTGGAAACCGATGGGGAGGCACTGGCGGTCGCCGCAGTGCTGGCGCAGGGAGATGCGCACGCAGCGCGGGCCCGCGCCCTCTGGCACCGACAGGGGGAAGCGGGGGTTGCTGGGGTAGGAAGCGAAGTTGCGGCTGCCCCCCGCGGTCCGGCCGACTCTCCAGGAGCCCCGCAGCCGCACGGTTTCCCACTCGCCAGCCGGCGGGACCTCCCGGGGGGCGGGGGCCGGGGTGGCCGGCTGGACGGCGCTGCGGAGACAGGCAGGAGGCGCTGGTGAGCAAGCCGGAGCCCGCGGGAGCCGCCCGGTCACGCCCCCTGCCCCGCCCTCACCTGAGCGCCACTCTCCCGGTGGAGAAGACCCGGAGCAGGAACTGCCCCGGCACGTCCTTCAGGAAGGTGCTGGGCACGGCCAGGTAGAAGCCCGGGCCAAGCTCACAGCGCAGGTGCACCTCGCGGTCATAGGCGTGGCACACGGTGCCCGCCACCGGCGGCGCCGACAGGGCCCTGGGCAGGTTGACCCTCCGCTTCTCCACCTGCAGGGGAGGCCCCAGAGCGCCTGTCAGAGCCGGGAGGCCCCTGCTCCGCCCCCAGCAGAGGCCTCCCCTTTGGAGCACCCAGGCCTTCGGAGCCCTCCCTAAGAACCTGCGCCTTGCACTCAGCCCCGGGGTCAGCGGCTGCGTCCCATGTGAGACACACATGCTGGTAAAGACATGTGGCTGACGCCACCTGGGCCTGCCAGGCTTGCCAGTGACGCTGTGAACCAAGACACCGGGACCTCCCATCTGCATTGGAGGGAAGGGGATGAGGGAGCGGACACTGGCCAGGAACAGCCCCTGGAGCCCTTCCGTGCTGTTTGCCTTTGGCCAGAAGACACACCCAGGCTGGGGGGAGGGAGGCGAGTCCTGTGGACTCAGATCTGACAGGGTGGGGGTGGAAAGGGGACGCGGCGGGCTCCGGGGGCTCAGGCCTCCACGTCCCATGGGGTGGGGCGCCAGGCCCAGGCGGGCTACCTTCCAGAGGTGCAGGCCCACGGCCTGGTAGTCTCTGCCCGGGCGGCCGGCTGCGCGCACCCGCGGCCTCTGCAGGACACCCACATACACCTCGCTGGGCTCGCAGACCCGCAGCCAGAACTTGGGGTTGCTGGGGAAGCCGCTGTTGTTCCGGCAGCCTCCTGCCGACTGGCCCTTGACCCAGGCCCCGGGCAGCTCCTGAGTGTGGCATAACACCTTTCCTGGGCAGGAATGCACCGCTCAGCCGCGTAGACAGGGTTCCCCTCATGCCCCCAGCCCCACCTTGGCGTCAGGAGCCCTGCACCATGAGGACATCCCACCCAGCCACCTGTCCCCCGGGCAGAAGGGATGGGACCAGCGCTCCGCCCTCAAGAGAAGCCGGGTGGCGAGAGGGGCGCCGGGTGGCCCGCCCCACTTCAGAGGGCGGACGGTCTGTCCGGGCCTCCCTCACCTGAGTGCAGGCTCTGCAGGTGGCCGGCCTCCGTGCTGGGGAAGCCGATGGTGACCTCGTCAAACTCCCGCAGAAACTCGTCCTCCTCCACCCAGAACTCCCCATCCTGCAGCTGTGACAGCAGCTCCGCCTGGGCCGCCGGCTCTACCCGGCTCCACCCTTCGCCCCTACAAGGAACCCCCTTCAACGGAGCGGAGGCCCGGGAGCAAGGGCCCACCTGCAGCCCAGGGGGCATCCTCCGTCCTCTCAGCGTTGCTGGGGTCCCGGGGCCCAGCACGAAGCCAGCTTCCCAAGGCTGTCTGGGGCCCTGAACAGAGCAGGTGCCAAGTGGGCCTTGCCAGAGACCAAATACTGTCCTGACCATGGTCCAAGCTGCAGGCAGCAGGCACGCACACGGTCGAGAGGGCTCTTGGCCACGGCGGTCCCCCTACCGCCACCCACCACCTGCAGACAGAGACCCAGAGCGCCCGCCCGCACTCACCCCTCCCTCCAGGGCCCCTGCCAGCACCGCCGGCCCCAGGGGTTCTGAATGCGCAGCAGCAGGATGCTCTGGCCGGCCAGATCCTGGAGCTCTCGCAGATCTGATACGATGAAAGCATGAAACTCGCCCAGCTCCCGGGTCCCTGGGGGAGGAACAGCCGTAAAGTCCACACGCTGAGCGGACACAGGCCCGCCTCCTTGCCTGGGACACACAGCCCACCAGCTGCACTGCCAGGGCACTGAATCCTGACCACGGTGGGCAAGTCAACTGGGGTGTGACCTGGTCTAGCGTGGGGCCACTGGGAGCGCCTGGCCTTGGATTTGGGCTCAGCTGCCACCAGGCCTGCAAACCGTTGCCTTCTTTGGGCCTCGGTCCTTGCCCAGATGACACTTTGGACAAAAGTCCCATTACAAAAATAATCTTAAATGTGAAAGCAATTGTGCACAAAGATGCTCACCGCGATGTCATCTATAACAGCATGAAACTGGAAAGCCCTTAAATATCAGACATTAAGGGATGGATTCAGAAAAACGTGGCAGATACAGGGATAAAGTAGGACCCTGACAAAGTTCACACAGCACACAGAAAGTGACACATAACACAGAACACACACGTCTCGCGAAGAAAACTGAGAAAGGGCAGTAACAAGTCAGAGTAGTCACTACTGGGTGACTTTTTCTTTCAACAGACTTGCTTCGTGAGCATGCATATCACTAACGTGGAAATCTAAGCGCTGGTTTTGCCTGATCACTAGCCGGGCCAGAGATGATGCCACCACTCTGCGTTCGGGGACACCAGTGCAGAAACCCCTCTTGCCCTGGAGGCCAGTCCTGGTCAAGGGAAGGTGGGACACTGCCCTCCGGAGAAGGCCGGTCAGAAGGGAAGGTCACACCCGGGACACCAGCTCTGAGGACAAAGGTCCTCTCTTGACTCAGTCCCAACAGGATCTGAGTACAAGGCTCCGGCAAGAGGCAGCGAGGGCTCAGGCATGCCGCCCGCGAGGCTGCCGCCCGCGCCCCCTACCTGTCCTGGGGCCAAGCACCGAGCAGCTCAGCAGACAGCGGTCCTTCAAGCTGAGCAGCTGCCAGCAAGTCCTGCGTTCCGCGCCATGGGGCCTGTCCTGCTGGCCACTGGTTCCGGCCACATCCTTCAGGTTCCACCTTTCGGCCAGGCCACCAGTGAGGTCCACCAGGGCGTCTGCCACCTGCCCCGCCCACAGCTGTTCATAGGAGCCATGGACCCTAGGGAGACAGCCAGGCGGTGTGAGGCCTGGCACTGGGCCCTCAGCCCTCCTGTCCCGCCATGGTCTGCCTCTGACCAACCTCGATCACCTCTCTTTCTACCCCGCCCTGTCCCCACCACATCCAGGCACAAGCTCGCCTCCAGGCAGAAGGCCCACAACGGGCACCAGGAGGAGTGGGCACAGTGGCCATGAGCACCCACCCCTCTGCCTCTCACGATCAAGGCCCTGGGCCCAATGTGAGGTTGATGGAGGGGCTCACTCCTGCCATGAAGGTTCGCCTCCCGACCCAGCCTCCTTCAGCACGACCACCAGCGTCCAGGGAGGGCGTCCATGGTCTCAGGACCACAACAGACAAGTCTGACGCCTTGGACACCTCACTCCTTCCCAGCCACCTGCAGAGAGGCCACCTGTCCCCAGGGTGAGAACCAGGTGGACGGAGAGGCTTCTCTTGCTTGGGTTTGAGGAAAGAGAGAGGACGACACGCACCCTCTCTCTAGAGGCGATGCCCCCGTGCCTGACCGTGACATGAGGGCAGGGAAGGGGGCGCGGGCCGAGGCAACAGCAGCCCACGGGCCAAGCCTCAGCGCTTCGGGCTCTGGACGGGCCAACCCACCCTGGAGGCCCTCAGGACCCACAAGGGCGCTGCGGCCCGCCCACCCGCCCAGCCCCTCCACGCCAGTCAGCGTACTTGGCGTAGACCTTCTCCAGTAAGGGGAGCCAGAACACATCCTCTCTCTGGCACCGGGAGAAGCAGAGTCTCCCTGCAAGACAAGGCAGACGGTCATCTATGGTCACCTCCACCCAGCGTCCAAACTGCCAGACTCGACAGGTGAAGGAGCCCCGGTACGTCTGGTCGAGCCAGTTCGGTTGTCCTGGAGGGAAGACCTAGCGCGTGTGGGAGGGGAGGCAAAAGGAGACGGTGAGAGAAGGCCCAGGCGGCATGTCCCGCGCCCCGGCCAGAGCGTGACCGCGCCGGACGCTGCATCCCCCGGCACGCGCCTGGCTGTCCGGCTTGTGTGAACACCACTTGGGGGACAGAAGGTCACAGACCTTCCAGTGAAAGGTGCCAGGGCCGCTCTGAGCGACCATCACCTCCGAGGCTCTAGCCAGCCATCATGAGCTTGTCCCCAGGGAGCGCGGGCTCTGAATCCACGACAAGCGTGACTTCAGACTCCTGCATGGCGGAGGAGGCACCTACCCCGGCTGGAGTCCGGGCACTCAGCTCCGCCAGCACCCGGCTCATGTTCATGGCTAGGGCCGCGATTCCGGCCCAGGGCTGAGACAGGACGGGGTCTGCACCCACACAGCCCTGTTGGGTCCCGGCTCTGCCCTTGTCAGCTGGGACATGACCACAGTTTCAGCGCCTCGTTTGTAAGAGGGGGTCCAGGCCACCAAGGCCTGTGAGAATGAAAGCCGGCAACTGTGGTGGGCTTGGCCCAGCACCGGGGACGTGGGAGCCGCTGGGAAAGCGGTCAGCACTGCTGCTTTCACCAGTCACACTGGTGCTCTTGGGGGAGTCTCAACGGCCTCCTATTCTTGCAGGGTCCGCCTACATCTGAAACAGTTCTAACCACCCTTGCCGATTTACGCTGGTGGTTTAGGCGCTCAGTCGTGTCTCACTCTTGCAACCCCGTGGCCTGTAGCCTGCCAGGCTCCTCTGTCCATGGGATTCTCCAGGCAAGAATACTGGAGTGGACTGGTATTTCTTTCTCCAATTTATATTCAAAACCTATAAGAAAAGAGAACCACCACCCCAACTAGCCAGAAAACTTACTCCAAACCCGCACAGGATCCCTCAACCGACCCTCTCCTTCTTTGGGCCGGCATGTTTGTCTTTTTCTCCCAAATGCCTGCCTGGGACTTCCCTGGTGGTCGGGGGCTAAGACTTCGCACTCCCAACGCAGGGTGCTTGGGTTTGATCCCTGGTCAAGGAACTAGATCCTACTTGCTGCGACTAAACCCAGTGCTGTCAAATTAAAACATATATATATATGTGTGTGCGTATACATGTCACAAATACACGGCTGACCCAGGGCTTGAGAGGTGGTGGAGCAGGTGCAGCAGAAAGCACCCCGCCCACCCCTGACGGAGAGGGGGCGGCTGGGCCCGATGGCGGAGGCCCCCCGCCCAACCCCGCTTCCTTCCTACGCGGTCAGACAGGAAGAGAGAGGAGGAGAGGTGGCCGCGGGCGGCAGGCAGACACCTGGTCCAGGAGGTGGCGGCTCTTCTGCAGGGCGGCACACGCACACAGGAACCAACAGTCTCCCAGCAGCCCTTGCTTCACCTGCCCTTCCTGCGGGCTACCTGCAAACAGCCGGGGCGTGGCGCAGATTTCCTGAAATAAAGAAAATCGTCTGCAGTGACGCTGTGCTCGGGCTGGCCATGAAACCACGAGCAGAGGCCCCGTGTGACAGGGTCAGGGGAAGGGCTCTTCCAGTCACCCACGCCGCCCAAGAGGGCATGGGAAACGGCTGGCCTCTTGCGGCCGGTACCCACCAGCCCCTCCAGGTTGCACATCAGCCCATCCAGCTTGGTTTCTGGGCTCCCTGTCTCTGCCCACCTTCCTTGATTGGCAAACCGCACCCCCGCAACTCTGGACGAATCCCACCACCTTTGTGCAACAGTGAAATGTTCGTCTAGAAAACGGTTTCCCTTTAAATTCACAAAGGCAGGTCTCAAGGGGGGTCTTCTGTACTGCTTCTCTACAAGGCTCAGTTCTCCACACCCCAGATGAGATAACCTTCCTCCTGCCCTCCTCAAAACACCCAGGTCCCTCTGAGCGGCAGCCTCGCCCGGGGCTCCACCAGAAGCCCCCCCACCCTGACCCGACCCCTGCGGCTCTCAGTGCCTGAGTCCATCCACGGTCCCCCTGCCCCAGCCCTGTAGGCAGGATCGCACCAGCGCAGGCCCAGTAGAGGAGGCCTGCCGCCTCTGAGATACGTCCCTGGGCGCCGCTTCCCCTCCCGGCGCTTCACCGCCCATCTCCTCCGAGAGCTGCTCCCCCACTTCCTCCCTCCTGTTTCTTGCAGCACCCCCTTGCTTCCCAGCAGGTCCGCAGCCCCAAAGCCGCTTGGCATCAGTGTCACCTCCATGTCGTCACCTCCCACGGGCATCCTCTGTGCTCCTCTTTCCTGACACAGCAGCATCAGAACGGCAGCTCCCCTGTGCCCAACAGCCCCCCTCCTGGCATCCACGACTCCACGTGCTCCGGCTGTCCTCTCCCCTCACTGCTTGCTGCTTCTCAGGTCTGCTTGTCAAGGCACCTGCGGTTCCTTAAGGCTCGGTTCCAAGCTGTCTCTTCTTCTCTGCCCGTACTTTCTCCAAGATGCCCTCCCAGACTCCAGACAGTAAGCCATCTGTTCAGTCCCTGTTCCCAGGAGCATCATCTAGCCCCGCTCCTCCTGAGCTCCTGGCTCTCACACCCACTTGCCTACCGTCAGCTCTGCTTGAACCTATGAGAGCAAAACCCAAGCCTACATTTCCAGCCCACCTCCCATTTCTGCAGCACATTAACCAGGACCCCTATCCCCCCAGGTGCTCAGGCTAGAAATCTAGAAGTTCTTGATCCCTGCTTCATCCTCACCCTCTACTTCCAGGTGGTCACTAAGATCTATGAATCCTGCCTTGGACATCTCCCTTAATCACTCACGCCACAGCCCCAGCCTGAGGGCTGTTGCACTAATGCGAGCCCCTGCCTCTTTCTCCAGGACCACTGCAATGGCCGCCTGCACTCTTGCCCATTGCACACCTGGCTGAAGAGTGAGCTTCTTAAAACATATATCCAACTGAATCACTCCTCTGCTAAAAATATCCCAATGGCCTCCCATTGCACCTAGAGTCCACTGGCCCAGCAAATCAGGCTCTTTGCCTCTTGGCAACTCCGTGACAAACAGGCCCTCGGTGCTGTCCAAGGAAAGCTAGTTCTGGCTCTCTTCCAGGGCGGGTGCATGCGGAGGTCTCCAAGACGGCTGCATGCGCTCGGGGAGAATAAGGTTGCTTCAGGGACAGCCTTATTCAGCGGATACGCCGTTTCTAAAGCTATCAGCACAGCATTGGGCGGGAGCGTGCCTCTAAACTGCCACCTTGAGATGTTTACATCTGAAAGGGCATGACGTTCACCACACCAGCGTGCAGAACAAAACGGCCGAACAAAACGGCCATGGCTTTGCAGGCTCAGCTGGGCCCTTCCAGGGGAGCAGGAAAAACAGAGCAAGACCGCTTGTGGTCAGAAGAGCCCTGCAGACTAGAAGCCCTTCACAGCAGACCCAAGTTGGGCTGAGCTTGCCGTGTGCCGAAGCGCCACGCTCGCGGGGCCGTGAATCCCCTACAGAAGGGAGCGCTCTCAGGTGGGGGCTGTGAACTCGGGTCCGGCACACTCGGAGCGGGCTGTGGGGGTGGGCCGGGGAGCCTTCTCCTGGGGACAGCCGGAAGCCGGCCTGGAGACGCGGCGCGAGACCCCCGAGAGCCCCGCGCGCCCCCCCCGCCCCCCCCCGCCCCACCTGGGGCCGCCTCCAGGTGATCTCCTCCCGGAACTGGGCCAGCGGCGTGGAGAAGCTGGAGAAGAGCGAGGAGTCCGAGGCCGGGAAGGCGGCGTCGCGGAAGAGCTCCTTGGCCGGCGCCCGCATCTTGGGCACCCCGGGCGCCCATCTGCAGCCCGCGACCCGGTGCCGAGCGCAGCCGAGCGGGCGCGCGGCCCCGGAGGGAAGGGCGAACCGGCCGCGCGCGGTCCCACTTGCCCGCGCCCCCTAGCCGGCACAGCTCGGCCCCCCGACCCCCCGGCCCCCCGGCCCCCCAGCCCTCCAGCCCGGCGGCACCCACAGCGCCGGACGGCCAGAGTGCGCGCCCGCCCCGTCGCCCCGGTAACCGTCGTCCCAGCAACCAACCAGGCGCGGTGCTCCTGGTCACGTGGCATAATGGCACCTCCCTCCGGGCGCCGGAAGCGCGTCACCGAGCCTTGAGGCCGTGTTGGTTGTGCCTCTCTTTCCAGGGCTGGGGGGCGGGGGGGCGCTTGGTGGTGTCTCAGCCGAGACTCACGCCTGGGAGGCCGGTGCCCGCGCCTCCTCGGACCGGTGTGGCTCGGGCCGGGGTGTGAGGACGGCCTCCTGAGGCTGAAGGGACCGGAGAGGCCGCCTTGGACGACGTCGAGCCGCGGACTACAGGTCCCAGCATGCCGCGCTGCCTCCCACAATACACTTCTCCCGGCCCCGCCGCGGGGGTGTCTGGGAGCCAACGGGACGCCCTCGGGAAGGCCGGAAGTGGGCCGTCAGTTGTCCGCCACCGCCGCCGCTGCGGTTGTGTGCTGGGGTCCGGGGAAGTGTGACAACCCCGGGACGTCCGTCCCAGGCCTGAGAGGCCGGCTACGGTTAGACGCCCTGGACCGTGAGTCGGCAGGCGATGAGGCTGGAGCTCAGTGGTGGTCCCCAGACGGCCGGCCATCTAGATGGTCCTAGCATACTGGACAGTGATACGCTGGGCTTGCGGTTGCAGCTCATGGCCGCTCAGCGTTGCGGGTTGGTGACGACGCCGACTTCGGGATTTGTTCGAGGAACCTGCCCTTCCCCGGGAAGGAGGGCAGGCAGCTACCCTGACGCTTGTTCTCCGGCTGCCTCTCCAGGCCTGCTTCGCTGCGGCTGGACCCTTCACAGAGGGCCGCGCGGGGGCAGGTGGGGAGGGCACAATCCTCGAGGGCAGCTCTCTGCCACCACCTGGAGTTCAGATTTTGCGTCCCCAGGCTGTCTTTGCCCAGCCTCCACATACCCATTGTGGTCAGATCAGATCCCCACAGGCCCTCCTGATGAGACGCTGAGCCTGACCCAAGAGCGCCCGCCGACCTTGCTCCAGAGCCTCCAGTGTGAGGCTGTGACAGCTGCGGCTCCTCCCTCTGAGGCCCCTGTGGCGCCTGCATGAGAAGCAGCTGCTAGTGGTGCTGTGACCTGGGCTACCTTGACCCCACCAGGCCCCAGCCTCTTGGTTTGGGGGTCTGGGGTCCTCATCTCTGCTGAGGTTCTGGAACCTCAGCATCATCTGACATCTCCCCCTTGCAAAGCTTACTTCATGACGATTTACCCTGCAGCACTGACTAACAGGAGTTTATGGCAGGCTGGACGCTGCACTGTTGCTGGAGGAAGTCAGGAATGGCCCAGGAGCTGCCTCATGTGGGTGTCCTAAAGGAGTAGGGGGCGGATTTTGCTGCCCTGGGGTGTTGGGCAACTGGTCTGCTCCAGGTAGCACATAGGGGTGGTTAGCAGATGAGCTGGGGCCAGCCCAAGAACTGGACTCCAAGTGGGAGAGCCTCTGCTGGGCCTCTCAACCCTGGCTTGCAAGCTCTGGAGAGCAGGCGGTTTCCTGTGGGTACATCAGTGTCCAGGGCTGGGCTCATGCCCAGAGAAGGGGCCAGGAGACAGTTGATTTGGGGCAGGGAGCAGCCCACGACCGTAGGCCCAAGTTAGTGACCAGCACTGAGATGGCTGACGGCAGCTCTCCTGTTGGCATGCCTGGCACAGCTCCCCCTGGGCCACATTTACCCCGTGAGCCCTTCAGGGTTCCATTCCCCGTCCCTGGGTGCGGAGATGGCCCACTGAGAAATCAGTATTCTCTTTTCCCTCTTGGGCCCACCCCACCCACCCCTGCACCCCTGCCTTGTGCAAAGTGGAGCCTCTGGCCCGTGGGTAGAAGGAGGAGTTGGAAGCAGCCTGGACTGGGGAGATGAGGCACTATTTTGGGGGTGGCTGGTTCTTGACCCCAGTCTCCACAACTGCAGGCCCTGAGATGGGCCATTACTTAGTCTGACCTCAGGGTCCTCATTGAGGTGGGAATGCCAGCTCCACGTCACGGCGATGTTTGATGGGCACAATGAGGTAGCGGGAGGCCCCATGGAGCTGGAAGGACCGGCCTTGGGCCCCTCAGGTGAGGAAGCTTTGCTGGACGCGCAACAGAAGGACAGTGTTTGGGAAAAATGCCTCGAGGCAGACTTGGGTTAGACATGTTCTCAATTTCTCTGGTGCATCTGAATTGCAGGGCAGTTTCAGGCACATCCCCACCAGAGGCAGCCAGAGAATCTTCCCCAGTGTCCTGGGCCTGCGGGCGGCGGGGTGCCTGTCCCTCTGGGCAGGGCTTTCCGTCTGGGACTCTCCTCCTGAGGGGACGGGACAGGTGAGAGGTCCCCCACCTGAGAAAGGCCTGGGCCCACAGGACCAGCCTCCACCACGTCTACCGCAGCAGGGCCACAAGTCACCTAAGCAGGATCACCGGAGGCTGTGCCCCGCTGAGCGGGTGTCTGGGCTGCGCTCCAGGCCCATCTGCAACTGCAAACCCCGTGATGCAAGGGCCCAGGCTGGGCTGAGGCTTGTGAGAAACAACCCTGGGCCCAGGCCCAGGGGGCCAGTTGGCGGGGGTCATGGCCCTAGGCTGTGGGGAGCAGTCGTGAGCACCGGGGACGTGGACTGCTCCCCGTGGGGTGGTGGTAGCTGGTGGGGGGGAGGGGTTCTGGAAGCTTGAGTCTCTCCCCTGCCCGTCTGGAGGGTCCAGCTGAGGAACGGTCCCAGGAGGGCCAGAACAAAGGCCCCTGTGTCTCTCCTGTGGCCCCGTCAGTTAACAGAGGTGAGGAGAGGTCCGTCCTGAGGGCCGGAGGGTCAGGCTCCTTTCACAGTGATGAGACGTGGAGTCTGCGTGGTCCTCACGCACCTCAGCGGTAGGTGTCACTGTCCCGTCTTACGATGAGGAACCTGGACTTCACTGGGAGGAGGCGGCAGCCCAGGACCCCATAGCTGTAGGGGGGACAGAGCCAGTGTTCTGAGGCCAGGCAGGCCCAGGTCACTCTGCTCACTGAGAGGAATGGATGCTTGTGGGGTGGTGTTTTAGATCCAGTTTGGGGTTTTTTAACCTCGTTACAAATAATAGATGTTCTTACACGAATTTCCGCCTGTTGCTCCACAATGGTCATGTGTCCTTAAATTTTATTACTAACACAATACAGATAATTTCCTTTGTTGACTTCCCTCCCCTGGGATGACCATTTTTCCAAAGTTGGATGTTTTCTGCAGTGTGGGCGAGCCATCACATTCACTTCAGGTCGTGGAGTCTGTGCCTCGCCGCTTGCTCATGCGTTTTTGAACAAGGGAGGTTTATCCAGGCCTGGCCGGTGGGCGGCCATCCTCTCAACACCCCGCCTATGCCTGTCAGAGCCCCTCTTAGACAATTGCCTCTTCAGGCAATTGCCCTGCCTTGGCCTTCATCCTCCCAGTGTCTGGTCAGGGATTATTTAGAAAGTGGGGGGAAAAAAACCTTAGCAGCTGACATCTGGTTGTTCTTGGTGAAACAACAGCCCGTGTCAGGGAACACACCCACCAGCTGAGTTAGGGAGGCTGCCCCAGGGTGAGGTGGCCTCAGGTGGCCGGGGGGCAATGGCTAAGGAAAGGAGGGTGGCGTCCCGGTGCGTGCAGGATGGGGATACCTCCCGGTGCGTGCAGGATAGGGATACCTCTATCAGTTTGCATGTCTCTGTGGGGGCAGGTCATGACCCCAGGTCTGGGGCGAGTCCCACTTTTCCTGCGTACTTTCCCTTCGTGGGTCCATTTGCTGATGCTAAGAGTGCTCTTTGTCTGCTATTCCAGTCCGTGACCCATCTTCTTTGTGACCATTCTTCCTAGTTTTCATTTTTAAAGAATTGCCCCTTTAAAAAACTTCTAGGTCTTTGAGAGGTTCTTTGGCCCAAGTCCCGGTCATTTCACAAGTACCTGTTCCTGGTTTATTTCAATGCCCCCTCCTCCATGCACGTGGCTGAGATGTTAACGCTAGGTTGTAAAGTCCTCCTCTGGTTGCTGTGTTGGCTCTGCTTCCTTGGGGATCAGTTTGGTGAGTGTTGGCCCTGGTGTACGTGGTTTATACACTCCTGGGTGGGTGCTCAATTGGGTGGGCCTTTTACATCTGACACTCCACCCGAGGCACCTGGTCTGAGGGGACTGCCACCAGGAAGACCCAGTGAGACGGGGGAGGGCAGACGGTCTCCCAGGGCAAGGGTGGATCCCGAAGAGGAGGCCTGGCGAGGATGCCGTCCCTGGGCTACAGGCTCCAGGCCGCGTGGGCCCTCCACCCACCCACCCACCTTCCTGACCCCAGCAGGTCCCGTGCTCACGGACACCCCCTGGGCTCCACTTCCCCTCCTGACTGCTCCCTTCTCTGCCCCCCAAATTCTGTCCCCCAACACCGTACCCCCAGCCCCTATGGTGGTCATTACTGCCGCTGGCAGAAACCCACCTCCATGCGCCGGGTGGGAGTAGGCGTGTAGGGCCAGCGTGAGTGCTGTGGACAGACGTGGCACGTGGCCCTGGTGCGTCCAATTGCCTGCCTGAGCACCCCCCCACGCCCCCCTTACCTCTGCCGAGGTGCTCTTCTCCATCAGCCAGGGGCTCTGAGGAGCCAGTGATGGGAAGCCCACCCCCCACCTGGCCTGAAGTGGGCATGGGCCACAAGCAGGAAATAAACATTCACTGTTTAAAACACTGGTGTCTTAAGAGTGTTTTCGCGTGTTGCTGGGGCACAGACATCAGCCCCAGAAGGGACAAGCGGCTGTGTCAGGACACAGGACACAGGCCTGCGGGGGGGTGGGGGTGGGGTGCTGGCGGGGCCCACCACTGGAGGCCGTGGTATGCAGCCTCGAAACATCTGGTAAGACTCAACTGTGATGACTCACGGGGCAAATGACGTCCAGAATAACTCGCAGGTCCGGTGGAAGGGGTTGGGAAACCTTGGCAGCGTGCATTGGTCACAGGCTGTGTTTGGCAAGATACCACGTGGGAGAAGATGGGCTGAGAAAAACATTCCTGGGTTTGCATAGCAGGGGGTAAAAGGAATGGAGAAAGGCAGGAACGTCCTGAAGGACAGGTCAGAGCCAGGACGGACTGCGGCAAGGATGCCGCTGAGGTGTGGGGGTCACCCCCGCGAGGCCGTGGGCTTTCTTCTGAGCCTCCCAATGTCAGGCAGGGCCGTGCAGGGCAAAGCCTGGCCTCTGCCCGCTGAGCTGGGATCAGGACCTCAGGGGACCACAGAGCTTTTGAGGGCTGAACTGCCAAAGAAACCAGGAGCCTAGGACTAAAGAGTGTGATTGGAGACCTGAGAACAGCCGTGGCAGGGAGGAGGCTAAGGAAGCAGGTCAGCCCCACAGAGGGCTTGGCCAGAAGATAGGAGGACAGGCTGAGGGCTGCAGAGCCCAGGACTCGGGGGCCCGGCCCCACGGGCTCCAGCGCTGCTGCAGGGAGAGCTCCTGGGCCTCTGCTTCTCCCCCACAGGCTTCCTGTTCACCACAGCAGGTGACTGGCCCTCCCGCTCCAAGTGTCTGGGCTCAGAGGAGCCACACCTGGCCCTGGTGCTAGGACAGTGCCCGAGAGCCTGGTCCACGACTGGATGGGGTCAGGTCAGCTCCCAGGGGGTGGGGGGTGTAGCAGGGAGGACAGTCCCTGGGGCACTTGCGACCGGGTCTCACCAGTGGGCCAGCTGACAGGTTACTCTGGGGTCCAAGCGTGTGATCCTGGGGGAGACCCTGCAGCGCTGGGTGGACCCACAGCAGAGGCGCTGCCCCAGGAACCCAGCCCTGTGGGTGGCCAGGAGGAGGGGGCCTGGACGTTGCCCCTGGTCATCGTGGTGCATTGCTCCTGGCACCCACAGCTTGGCCGTGCTCTGGGGCCATGCCCCCAAGGGCGTGCAGCCCCACCTTCCCCTGGGCCAGCAATGGCCACAGCCCCTGCGCTCTGCCCTCCCAGGTCACATGCCCGCTGCTCACCTCGCCCTTTACTTCAGTTTGGGAGAAAGGCCCACAGCGGGGGTGCTGGCAAGTGCCCCTGGCTTTGGTGTTTGGGGGTCCTGGGGAGGCTGGTGCTTGGACCCCGGGATGCAGAGCAGGGTGGTCAGGAGGGACCGGATGCAGGCGAGAGCCCCAGCCTTGGGCAGCCCCCTCCTTCCCCGCCTCCGGCTGGAAGGCTGGGTCAGAGGACAGGGCTGTGACCAGCTCCACGGCTGCTGGGCAGCTGCGCAGGACAAGAGCCGGGACAGACAGGCTGGGAAGCAGTCTGCGAGTGGAGGTTTAATGGGACAATCGCGGTGACCCCGAGTGGAGGTCCCTCGGCCCAGCATGAACCCCGGGCTTCCCGGGCCTCTTCCAGCAGGGTGGGCCTAGAAACAGCACCAGTGCCGCCTGCCTTCCTGCGTGTTATTGCTGCCCTGGCCCCGGGGCCTGGACCCTGAGTTCCCTGAGGAGCTAAGGCTTTCCGGGGCCCCCCTCCCCAGGGACATCCACCGTCTGTCCGGCGCCCCGTCCCCCGCGGGGAGGGTGTGGGCATGTCTGCGTCCTTGGCCCTCAGGCTGCCAGCCCCGGGGGGGCGGGGGCCCAGGGCTCCGCGGAGGCAGGCGTGTGGGGCGGGCGCGGCAGCTGGGCCCTCCCAGCGGGCAGAAGGCACAGTGTGGCGGTTGCTGTCGACCCAGGGCGGTGCCTGGCCGTCAGTGTTGAGACAGGAGGGCCCGCAGTGCAAGAGCGCTTGGGGGGGTGGGGGGGACGGGTCCACGGGCCTCAGTCGGCCCTGGGGGAGCCCAGAAGAGCCCCCCGGCCGGGCCCGTGGCCCAGAAGGCACAATCGTGGTGTCTGGGAGGCGCAGCGCTATGCAGACACGTTGACGTCCCTGAGAGAGATGGCGCCGCCCGGGGCCTCGTCCCCGAGCAGCAGGCCCGGCTCCGAGTCCGCCGTGGCCCCGCCCGGCTCTGCGCCAGGGCCCAGGCCCTGTGATAGGATCTGCTGGATGGTCCGCCGCAGGTTGGGGTGCAGCCGGCCCTGCGTCTGGTAGAAGACCTCCAGGGCGAAGGACTTGAGGGCGCCGGTGCACAGGTCCTCGTATAGCGGGATGGTGTACATGCGCGACATCTGCGGGCGGCCGCGGGTCACGGGGCGCCCTGGTCCTCCCCCAGCCCCCCACATCCTCCCCTCCCCGCCCCAGGGCGCTCGGGCTGCAGGGGCCCTGCCAGGGCTCAGGCCTGGGGATCCAGTGACCCTTAGGCCTTAAGGAACTCAGATACCCCTGGCGTGCACGCCCTGCGGCGAGACCCCCGGACTCTGCTCCTGGCTTGGCCGGTGCCTGCCTGAGGTCTGCTGAGGTCTGGGCTCCACCCCATTCTCTGGGCTGCCCAGTCTGAGTGGCTGGGTGGCAGGGAGGGAGGGCAGGGGTCAGCCAGCCTAAGTGGCCGGGTCAGGGGGAGGGCAGGGGTCACCAGCTTGAGTGGCTGGGTGGGGGGGAGGGCAGGCCTGTGCGGCCGCACCTGACTCTCCAGGAATCGCCGGACCCTGTGGAGATCGGGGTAGTAGTCGTTGCGGACCACGATCTGCAGCCAGCGGATGCGGATCTCGGCGTTCATCGAGTCCAGCAGTGAGGAGTAGCACTTGGACAGGCGCATCACCACCTCTGCAGGGGCCACGGCAGGTCAGGGCCAGTGAATCCCCCGCCCCTCCCACTCTGGCAGCTGCGGGACTCACCCTGGGGCAGCGGGGACCCGTCCAGCAGCCGGTCCAGGAAGAGCGCCGTCTGGAAGGTCCTCCACTTGGAGATGTCGATGGCGCTGGCGGAGGCGGCCGCCTGGTCCAGGGGCTCGGCGGTCCACAGCTGGAAGAGGGCCTCCACGGGCCGGGTCAGGCTGGATCCCTGAGACAGGTCCGGCTCGGCCAGCGGGGGGCCCGTGGCATTCAGCCAGCGCTCGAACTCCAGCCCTGCAGCACAGACACCCTCCTGGGTTCCCAAGCAGGCCTGCCTGGGAGACTGCAGACCCCGAGGGTGTGCCTGGGGGAGACCCTGCCAGGGTCTGGGAGCCCCAAAGGCAGGGGTGGCCTGGGGATGCCGCAGTTGGCTGCAGACCCTGCAAGCCATGGGCGGCTTCTGGGAAGGGGGCACAGAGGGCCGGAGCTGGGGACCAGGGACTCCCTGCCCGCCCACGTCTCCCAGGCAGAAACAGTGAGGTGCTGAGAGCCCACAGGTGGAGGGGCGGGGTGGGGAGCACTGCCCTGGGAGAAGGCCATTCCTGCTTTAGAGACTGGAGCCTGGGCAGCTGTGGGGGCAAGTCCTGCCATTCCTGCCCCCCAGACCCTTGGAGCACTTCCCAAACCTTCTCCAACACAGGGTCTCCGGCCCACACCTCACTGTGCTACCTCAAATCCTGACTCTCCCTGAGACGGCAGACCCTTCTCTGCTTTGGCCTAAGCTCTTGGACCAGGGACACCCTCGTGAACAGGCCGGCTGTCTTCAGCCTGCTCTGAGGCAAAACTTCCCTCTGCTCCTGGATCCTGCCCCAGGCCCGCTGTGCAGTTTCCAAGGCTCTTTCTGGAACTGCCTACTCAGCTCTGCATGTATGCGTGCTCAATCGCTCTGTCGTGTCTGACCCTGTGCGACCCCACGGACTGTAGCCCGCCAGGCTCCTCTGTCCATGGAGTTCTCCAGGCAAGAACACTGGAGTGGGGCACCAGGCCCTCCTCCAGGGGATCTTCCTGACCCGGAGTCTCCTGTGTCTTCCACGTTGCAGGCATTCTTTACCCACTGAGCCACCTAGCCTAGTTGCCACCTCCTCCAGGAAGCCCCCTGGGGCCCCTCCGGGCTGGGAATCGCACTCTCCTCTCTGTTCCTTCCACGTCGTCCAGCCTGAGTTCTACACCAACAAGTGAAGGTGGCTGCTGGCTGGCCAGAGCCCCCAGGCCCACTGTTCCACCCCTGCCCCCTGACAGGCCAAGGCAGGCCAGTGTGGACACACGGCCAGCGCGAGGAGCCTCACCCGCCCGGCAGTCCACGCTCTGCTCCTTCAGCTCCGGGAAGAAGGTCAGGAAGGAGCCCAGCAGGTCCTGGGCCACCACGCTGGTGAACTTGTACTTGTCCACGTAGGCCTGCCGGGCGGAGCGGACTCAGCGAGCCCGGGGGCTGGGTGCGCCATTGGCCCCCTCCCCCGAGCCGGGCCCGGCACACACCGCGAGAAAAGGCCCTGCGCCCAGGGGTCTGAGCAGGGGGAGGCAGGGCCAGGGCGGGCACGGGGGCGCCCAGGGCTGCCGCAGGGCCCTGCCAAGTGGCCAAAGCTGGGAGGTGGGAGGGCCAGGAGCCCGGTGACAGCCCCGCTCATGGCCTCCACCGCTCCACCCCCACCCCAACCCCCGGGAGCCAGGAGGGGGCCGGGGGCCCAGGGAGTGGGCTGCTCACTCGGAGGAAGTCATCAAAGCGCTGGGGGTCCCCGCAGAGCTGGGACAGGTAGTACACGAAGCAGTAGCCCTTCTCGTAGGTGAACAGGTTCATCAGGTGGCTGGGGTTCACACCTGTGAGGGAAACTGTGGCTCTGGGAGGCGCCCTGAGCCACGTGGGTCCCCAGGGGTGGGGGCGGGATGGCGGTGGGGCGCTGCAGGGCAGGGGCCACTGAGGGCCCCGCTGCTCACATCCAGATGCCCCGGAGCGTGGGGGGGGCCTGCCCTGCTGGGGGACCTTGGTGGAGGCCTCGGGTCCACACACTGGGGAGACGGGTGCTCAGCGCCCTCGAGAGGCGGTGCAGGCTGAGGGGGGAAGCCCCCCAGCCCCGGCCTCCACAGAGAAGCCTCATGGAGACGCAGGCCCCGCCTGGCTGGGCTGGGGTGGGGCCCGACGCCTGCGGGTGACGCGCGCAGGGCCGGGCGGGTACCTGGCTCCAGCTTGACCTGCAGCTTGCTGACCGGGCTGTCCTCTCCGAGAAGCTTCATCTGCCTGTGCAGGGCGTCCAGGCGGAAGGCTGTCTCCAGACAGGTGAAGGCCGCACCTGGACAGGCAGGGGCAAGACCGCTGCCCAGGCTGCTCCCCGCCCTGCACCCCATGAGCTGCCCTCCGCCTCCACACGCGGGGGACACACACAGACACGTGCGGGGCAGGGCGGCCGCAGCCGGGGACCAGCCCTGTGCACAGTCCCTCCCTGACCCGGGGCATCACCATCCCGCCCCGCCCGGCGCACCGTGGGTCTCGGTGGTGATCCGCCGCTGGGCGTAGGTGGCCAGGCCCTCGCTCAGCCACATCTCCTCCCACGTGGCGTTGGTGACGGCGTTCCCGAACCAGCTGTGGGCCACCTCGTGGATGACATCGATGACCAGGAACTCGTCGCTCTCCAGGATGGAGGAGATGATGAAGGTGAGGCAGGGGTTCTCCATGGCCACGATGGGGAAGGACGGGGGCAGGAAGACGATGTCATACCTGCGGGGAGGCAGGGGCGGGGGCCACGGGTGAGCCTCGCCTCCTGCCGCTTCTCGGCAGGCCGGGGGTGGGGGGGGGGTGGTGCGCATGCCCTCTGACCCCTCTCGCGGCCGGCCGGGCTCTCACACGTACCTGCCCCATAGGTAGGGCCCGTAGAGCCGCTCGGCCGCGCTCAGCCACTGCTCCACCGCGCCCGACAGCTTGCTGGTGGCCGTGGGCAGGAGGCACGGCTCGGCCCACACGCGGCTCCTGTCACGGGGGACACGGTGGGCGGGGGCCAGCCTGCCCCCAGCCCCAGCCCCCCACTGGGCCTTCCCTTTGCTTCTGGGCACGAAGAGCGCCTGCCTACGCCCAGTGCGGGCGGGCCAACCATCCAGCCGGCGCCCGCCACCCACCCCGCAGGTCCTTCCGACTGCGGGGCAAGCACAGCCGGGGGAGGACGGCCCCCGGGACAGGCAGGCAGGGGCAGGGCTGGCCCCATCGCGCGGGATCACACAGGGCGGCCGCAGAGGCAGGCTGCACGCCAGGCCCCGGCAGCATCTTCTGAGCCTGGACCCCAGGCAGCAAGCAAGACGCGGGCCTACCTGGGCCCGATGTCTGCGGGCTGGAGGTCCCCGGCCACGAGGGCCACGAGGTAGGCAGGCACGGGGTGCTCCATGTGGAAGCGGTAGACGCCCTCCTCCTCCACGTAGGTGCTCTGCGTGGCGCTCATCAGGACCTGCACCCCCGACGGGGCCTGCGTCCCAGGAGGCCCCACCCATCAGGACAGCGTGTCCCCCACAGGGAGCCCCACGCCCCCATGGGGGCCACCCTGTGTCCCCGGTGGGGACCCCATGGCCCGGTTGGCAAGCCCCATGTCCGTGGGAGAGGCCCCACCACCTGGGTCAGGCAGCCACACCGCTAGGGAGCCTCCCGTTCCCCGTCAGGGACCCCCCACACTGCTCGGGGCACCCCCAGCTCCTGGCCCACACACCTCTCGTCCCAGTCAGGAGTGGACGTGGGGCCAGGGGGCTGCCAGGAGCGCTGGGACCCGGCCACTCTGCCTGCCCCCTCCCCGCATTGGCGTCCCGGGGCTCAGGCTGTGGGCAGGCTGCCCCTCCTGCACGGCGGGCAGGCTGTGCCCCATTTCGGAGGGCTGCCTGGGCAGCAGCTGGGGAGCAGGCCCAGGAAGGTAAAGGTCAGGAGCAGGGCCAGCTGCCGTCTCTGACCTTGACCACGGCCGAGTAGGTGCACTTGACTGCAGGCGTGTCGAAGCACGGGAAGAAGGACCGGTTGCAGACGGAGTGGCCCTGGGTGAACACGAAGGGCTTGGCGCTGCCGTAGGTCAACTCTGGGTCCAGCCACCAGATCTGCAGTGGGTGGTGGGCAAGTGGTCAGCTCCGGCCAGGGCGCCCTCCCCGGGACAGCGGGCTGAGCCCTCCTGGAAACCACAGCTGCAGGCAGACGGCCCCGCCCCGCCAGGGAGCCGTCCCTCAGGTGCTCCGGCGCACCACGCCCCCAGCCTGCCCAGGCCAACTCAGCGCTCTCCTTCTCAACGCCACCAAGCATCATGATGTCTCCAGGAAGGGCGTCTGGAGGTCGGGGGGTCTGCCCAACCCAACTGCACCCACTCTGTAGGGTCCCGAATCTGTCTCCCACGTCCCCTCTGCCGGGACGTGGTCACTGAGGCCAACTGGACGGGTCTTCAGTGACCAAGTGCACACAGGTCCCCCCAGGGCCGTGATGGAGGGCCCCCAGCCCCCTGCAAGCAACAGGCCCCAGGACAGCAGCCACAGCTGCTTACCACTGGGGGCCCCAGACCAGGACCACCGCTGGGGGCTGTCCATGCCGAGACCCCAGGGGTGGGGGACCCCAGACCCTGGACCACCGCTTGGGGCTATATGTGCCGAGACCCCAGAGGTGGGGAACCCCAGACCAGAACCGCCACTGGGGACTGTCTGTGCGAGACTCCAGAGGTGGGGGACCCCAGGCCCAGGACCGCCGCTGGGGGCTGTCCATGTCGAGACCCCAGGGGTCGGGGACCCCAGACCCAGGACCGCCGCTGGGGGCTGTCCATGCAGAGACCCCAGGGGTCGGGGACCCCAGACCCAGGACCGCCGCTGGGGGCTGTCCATGCAGAGACCCCAGAGGTGGGGACCCCAGATCCTAGCGGATGTCCTCCAGGCCTGCAGGGCTGCCTATCCAGTTCCTGCAGATCATCCAGGCCGCTGTCAGCCTTCATGGACTTCTACAAAACTTCTTTTTGACTTCTATGTCTCTGTTCTCTGCCCGTGCAGAGCCTGCGGTGGTATCTTCCTTTTCTGCTGACCCCTAGGGCTGACCCAGATGTTCAGAAAGCCTCTCTGGGGAGACTGTTCAAAAATGCAAGCTCCTGGGTCTGGCCACCTAGGAGTGGGACCTAGGAACCTGCATTTCACCCCCCACCCCCACCCCAGGTCCTGGGACAAGCTGTCCCTGGCTCATGCTGGGGACAGGTCCCCGTGGTTGGGCTGCTGGGGACAGGGTCAGGCCAGCAGGGTGGCCTGTTGTGGGCCCTGGTCCCACCACTCTCCGACCACTCTGCTGGTCTTAGGTGGACCAGACACGTGGGCTCCAAGGTCAGGGAGAACCATATCCTCTGTTTTCACGGCTGTGGTGGGAGCCATGCGCGCCAGCTGTCAGAGCCCCAGAAGGCCCCTGGCAGGCAGCAGGGGCCTGACTGGCAGGGCAGGGGCCAGGCCGGCAGGCAGCAAGGGCCAGGCGGGCAGGGCAGGGCCAGGCCGACAGGCAGCAGGGGCCAGGCAGGCAGGGCAGGGGCCAGGCGGGCAGGGCAGGGGCCAGGAGGGCAGGGCAGGGCCAGGCCGACAGGCAGCAGGGGCCAGGCGGGCAGGGCAGGGCCAGGCCGACAGGCAGCAGGGGCCAGGCGGGCAGGGCAGGGCCAGGCCGACAGGCAGCAGGGGCCAGGCGCGCAGCGCAGGGCCAGGCCGACAGGCAGCAGGGGCCAGGCGGGCAGGGCAGGGCCAGGCCGACAGGCAGCAGGGGCCAGGCGGGCAGGGCAGGGCCAGGCCGACAGGCAGCAGGGGCCAGGCGCGCAGGGCAGGGCAGGGCAGGGGCCAGGCGGGCAGGGCAGGGCCAGGCCGGCACACCTGCAGAAGCTCACAAAGGGGTGAGGTGGCAGCTGGGGGCTCCTGGGAGTCGTGCAGAAAGCCTGCAGGTGTGTGTCTGGCCTAGGCTCTTCCTGATCTCTCCCTGATGGCTCCTGGCCTGATGCCTTTCCGTCACCCTGTCTATTCACATGCCACGGCGGTGACGGATGGAACCTCCCGGGGCCTCCCAGAGCGACTTGAATGTTGTGTGTTGTGGGTTACAGCCACATGTGTGCTGTTCACACAGGGACCCAGGAACCCCCATGCTCCATCCTGAAGGCTCCCCTGCGGTGGAAGGGTGCTGTCTGAGCTGCCCAGGCTTCCTGCCGAGGCCCTGGGCAGCGGGCGCTCCGTGCCCAAAGCCCCTCAGAGCCTGTGTGTGTCTGTGTTGGGGACGTGGGGCCAACCTGCTGGAGTGCCTGCCAGCCCCCAGGCGGCCTGAAGCATCAGAGCCGATGCAGGCCTCTCGGCCTCCCACGCCGGCAAGTCTGTCTCTCTTGCCACCCCCAGGGAACAGTCCTCTGAAGCCCGGGTCGCACGGAGGCCCTTGGTCGCAGTGCCAGGCTCTGGCAGATGCATGGCTTGGCATGCGCTCACCAGAAGCTGCCCCTGTCCCCAGGCAGGGACCCGTTCCTGCACAGCTGAAGGGAGAGGCTTCCCTGGTGGCACGCAGGACCCTGTCCCTGGGACCAGGGACCAGCACCCGGCGGCTCACTCGGTCCAGGACTCCTAAGGGTTCCCCTGGCACCAGCTGGGAAGCCCCGCCGGCGCCTGGACAGGACTCCGCAGCCGGCTCGAGGAGAGCCGGGCTGGCCACCCTCTGCAGGTGTCGCATGCGCAGCGCCCCCAAGAACGCCCCCCTAGCCCGGCAGCAGGACTCACGGCGGGGGCGTCGGTCGAGGTGTAGCGCAGGATGACCTGGAAGGGCTGGTGCGCCTGCAGCTCAGGGGGCAGCGTGACGGTGAGCGAGGAGCCATAGTCGGTGAACGGGTCCACCCTGAAGGCCAGCGGGCAGCAGGCGGGCTCCGCGCCAGGCGCCTCGCAGAAGGCGGGCAGCGGCGGCGGCGGTGCGGGTCCCGGCCCAGGGGCAGCAAAGGCGAAGGCGCAGGGCGGCTCGGCGGCGGTGGCGGCGGCGGCGGGGGCGCGGCGGAAGGCGGCCGAGTGCAGGCGCAGGGCCGGGTGCGCGTCGAGCACGAGCGCGCGGGGCGCGGGGCGCCGCGCGCACAGCTCGAGCACCAGGCAGCCGGCCAGCTCGCGCGCCTCGGGCCGCAGCTCCAGGCCGAGCTGCAGGTGGCGGAGGCGGAAGAGCTGCGCGCTGGAGGCCGAGGCCACGTCCAGGGCGGGCGGCGGCTCGGGCGGCGGGCGGGCGGGCGCGGCCTCGGCGCCGGGCGCCTTGCGGCAGCAGCACTGCGCCGCCATGGCCGCCGCGCTAGGTGAAATCCATGGGCGGCGGCCGCCCGGGGCCGCGGGGAGCGGGCGAGGGGCGCCGGGCGCCGGGCGGCGGGGCGCGGGCACAACAGGAAGTCGCGCCGGGAGCCGCCCGGCCCGGCCCCGCGCCGTGCGCCGCCCCGCTCCGGCTCCGCTTGGCCGCCGCCGCCGGGGGCGCTGTGCGCGGGGAGACCGGGACGCTGGGGACGCGGGGCCGGGGTGCCCGCGACTCAGTGAGTGGGGAGACCGAGGAGCCGGAGGGCTGACAGCGCGGCTGGGGGCCATGAGCCCGGGCGCTGTGCGTGGGCCCGGGGGCGCTGTGCGCTGGGCTGCGACCGTGAACCAGGTGCGATGCGTGGGGCCGGAGCGGCCGCTGTGTGCAGGTGACCCCGGCACTGGGCTGGAGGAAGGGGAAGGCGCGGGGACCCGGTCGCGCTGGAGGTTCCTCTGGCACCCACTGCTGGGACACCTGAGTCAGGGAAGTGTTACTCGTCCGTTCCAGAACCTCGGCCTGGAGAAAAATGCAGTGATTCCCATCACCCTGACCCGTTCCCCTGTGAGACCAGTGGTCTGTTGTATGTGCCATGAGGGGCATGGTGGTGGCTCTGGAACCTTGAGACTGTACCCTCAGATGTATGAGGCTTCTTAGATTGAAATTAAATAGAATTAGAAGTTCAGGTTCTCCATTGCACTAGCCCTATTTCAGGGTCTCCATGTATGTTTGGAGGGTCATGTCAGGCTAGTGGGGCTTCCTCAGTGGCTCAGTGGTAAAGAATCTGCCCCCCAATACAGGAGATGCAGGTTTGATCCCTGGGTCGGAAAGTTCCCCGGGAGAAAGAAATGACAACCTATCCCGGGGTTCAGGTCATGGAGAATCCCATGGACAGAGGAGCCAGGTGGACTACAGTCCATGGTGTTGCAAAGAGTTGGACACGACTGAGCAAGTATGCACGCATCAGGTTAGTAGCACCATACTGGACAGAGCAGGTATTTCATCATCAGAGAAAGTCCTGTTGGACTCTGCTGCCTTCAGGGCGGTCCGGGCCCTGGAGGATGATTGTTTAGGAGGTGAGTGCTGGGCAGTCACAAGACCTGGCCAGCCTGTCACCCCACTCTCGCCCAGGCCCGTCCAGACACTTGGGCCTGAGGGGTTGCTGGAGACCAGTGAGGATGCTCAGAGACCAGCATTGGGTAGGTCTCAAAGCCATAAACGAGAGGGGCCGCCAAGGTGTTGCTCTCATCATCATGGGAGAATTGAGGTCCTCAGGGAGACGGGACCTTCTGGCCTGGAGTCCCACCCACCGCTCTCCCTGCTCCGTGTCTGTGGCACAGCTGGGGCCTGACGCACGCTGCATTCGACCTCGATGGCATCCCTGAGGGGTGTTTAATCGCTTTGGACTCAGTATCTCCATCTGTCACTCATGTGGGCAGGGTGGGACTGCTGAGCTGAGGACCCATGTTCACGGAGTCAGCACCCGCACTGAGGCATCTCTTCAACTTGCCCTGTGTCATTTTAGCCTCAGGGACACAAGCTCCTGTTGGGGCCCCCACCGCAAACTCACCAGCCACTTAGAGGAAGAGGTTCAGCCCTGCATCCGAGACTCAAGACAGGGGAGAACTGGGTCTGATCAGTCCTCAGTGCCTTTAGGGGGCCCAGTGCCTGCCCAGAGGCCAAGGGCAGAGTGCTTTAGATGGCACTCCCAGCGTGAGCAGCCTCTTGGAACCATCCTTTCCCCTCTCCCAGCCAGCGGGGCTGAGGCTGGAAGACCATCAGGGACTGCGTGCAGGCACCCACACCGGCCTGCCCTAAGCACCTGCAGGCACATCTGCTAGCCCCCTGCACAGGCTAAGTTAACCTCAGGGGGCTTCTTGCCCTCCTGCTGCCCTGGCCTTCGGGAGCAGGGGTTGGGTCCCGTCCCTTCTCTCCTGGAGGGCCCTGGGCACCTCCCGGTGGCCTGTCCCACACACAGGACTGGTGGGGTAGGTGCAGTCGTGTAGGTCCAGAAGAGCTGTTAGCTCCTCCCTGGGCCATGCCTTCCACCCCACGTTTTTATAAGGAACCAACACCAGTCAGTCTGAAGGAGCAAACAGATGTTTTGCAGCACTAAAGGCAGCCCACCAAGGCACTTGTGAACTGTGAAGGGCACAGTGGTCGTCTCCACTCTCCACCTCGTCCCGGTCAGCAGAGGACGGTGCCTTCAGTGTTGGGGGTCGGGGGCGCTGCTTTGCTGACAGAGGTCCAGGGTGCAATGTACCCTCCTCCCCCATTCCACCTGAGGGAGAGGAGCCGGGAGGGTGGGACTGCCGGAGGCTGGGGTTTCTCCCATAGGAATTTTCATACACCAGCTTTTTAAAAAATATTTTATTTTTTTTGACTGTGGTGGGCCTTTGCTGCTGCCGAGTCATGCTGGCGGGGGTTGATCTTCTTGCGGTGTGCAGGCTTCTCACTGCAGTGGCTTCTCTTGTGGAGAAGAAGCTGTAAAGCACAGGCCTCCGCAGTTCTGTGGCGCACGGGCTTTGCTGCCCCGCGGGATGTGGGATCATCCTGGACCAGTGTCCCTTGCATTGCAACGTGCAGTCTTAACCACTGGACCGCCAGGGAAGCCCCATACACCAGCCTGTGGATGGTCCAACCCTGACTGGCTTGGTAGGCGGAAGCGTCTGCACCCAGCCTTCTCCCCATGAACACAGACTGGGTGCCACTGTTCAAGTGTGCGGGCACCGGGAGGGGAGCGGGTCCCTGGCCTCATCTGTTAGCAGGTGGACACGACGGTGGGAGGGCTTCCAGGAGGCCCGTGGGGGTCAGGTGGGGGCTGTGCTGTCCCTGGGACAGAGGTCCGAGGCATGCCTGGCCTCTGGCGGCAGGCAGACGTGGACGGTTCTCCAACTGGAGCTGGGAGACCAAGGCCTGGCCCGGGCTCTGACACCCCTGCACCCGTGTCACCCGGGGCCACGTCAGCAGGTCAGGGGGTGTGCAGCACCAGGAGCACACAGGGAAAAGATCTGGGCTCAGGTCCTGGCTGTAGACCTCCCAGCTGGGCAAACCACTCAGCTCGCCTGAGGGCACAGATGGAGCCGCAGCGGCCTCACCTGCCACGCGGAGACAACGGCAGGCGCTTGTTTACAGGTAGATGGGAAAGCAACATGAGCTGTGAGGGGCCTGCGGGGAGTAGGTGGCAGCTGGCGAGCCCTCCATAAAGGTGGCAGAAGTCGGGTTATGATGAGGGCTGTGGCTCTTAGAGATGGGCGCCGCTGATGCGTGGCACTGCACAGGGCTGGGTGCTGACCTGCAGGGGGTGGGGCATGCTCTGAGCCAGGGGCCATCGCGCTGGCAGAGCAGGAGCAGGAGCAGGAAGGCTGGGGAGGACGAGGCCCCTTCACAACCGCCCCAGGGCCTCGCTCACAGTGCAGGCTCCCAAGCTTCACCCTTTGGGCTCTGCTTGGTCAGAGGTTTTCATCTGCAGGTAGGATGCTTCCGTCTGGGACACACCTGCACGGAGGCTGAGACCCCACTTAGCCAGTTGGGGGTCCTCAAGGCACACATCAGAGTTGCTCTGCTCAATAACTGACACTTTTTTTGGGGGGGGGGGTGCTGTGAGGCTTGCAGGATCCTAGTTCCCCGACCAGGGACTGACCCCAGGGCTCAGCAGTGAAAACGCCGAATCCTAAGCACTAGACCTCCAGGAAACTCCCTGACCTTGACTCCGAAGGGGCAGCAGGGCTTTGCTGTGCTGGGACTCGGGGCACTGCGCTCATGCCGCTCAGGACTCCCGGGTTGTGCAGAAGACCACGGAGGGCACAGCACAGTGTAGGCGGGACCACTCGGCCCTTCAAGATGAAGGCTCCACACACCCCACTGGGAGGACCAGGACCCGGGGCACTGGCTGAGGGTCAAGGGAAATGATAAACACCAACTGCGGTATTTTATCCATTATTTTGTTATCTGTACACTGTATGTGTTAACCGGGGACTACATCATCTGTAATTCATGTATTATCCCTTTTTTCCTTTACTCTCTCCCCTTTATCTTATTTAGGGAGTGTTGAGGGTGATTAATTTTCTAGTATAGTCTTCAGGCTGTAGGATGCCCAGATGAGGTGCCTCTGAACCAGAGTAATCAATGCACTCAGACACATGGGTGGTCAGTGTGGTCTGGGCCTGACCTTGGCCGAAACTGGAAGGTCAGTAAGGTAGGAAGTGGGTGTGGGCACCGAGAGCCCCAAGGGAGCCCAAGCTGAGTCTGTCACAGAGCCTCGAACCCGCACCCGTGTGGCACAGCAGCTCCGAGTCTGTTTCGGAAAGCCACCGTGGCCTGAGCTGGTGGCAGGCTCGAATGTGGAAGGAAGCCAGGGGCAGGGTGGCAGGCCCTCGTGACTCCTGTGGTTTCCCCATCTCCTGACCTTGGCTCCCCGCCCTCCACCTCTCCGTAGTAAATGTCTTTCTGGCTCAGTTTTCCCGAGTGGTTTTGATGTTCCTGATCAAGCCCTGTCTAGTAAACCTAAGGACCAGGGGAGGAACGGTTCCCCAGTTCTCTGCGGACATACCCCTACACTACCATCAAGCGGGGACAGAGCTTTGGGAAGCTGCAGAAAATAAAAACTCCGTGGGACGTGAGGCAGGAGAGGACGGCCCAGCCTCCCGTCAGTGCATGCACTACATCTTCCCACCTCGAGGATGCAGGAGACCCCCGAGCGTCCTACTTTGGGGTTGGTTGGTCGTCCTCCAGGGCTGACCGCTCAGGGCTCACTCGGGCCCGACGGCTCCCAGGGCAGGAGGGACCGCGACTGCAGGGCCTCCTCGTACTTCTGGAGCTGGGACCAGAAGCCCGGGTTGGGCTCGGCAACTGGGCGGGCGCTCTTCACTGTCTGCAAAGAAGAGGCTGCGGCTAGGTCCCCGCGCGGTGCTCCCAGCGAGGTCCACAGACGCCCCGCCCCCATGGGGGCGCCCCGCCCCGCCCGGAAGTGTCTCCCCAGGCGGCGGAGCCCGCCGCTCCCGGAAGGTCCTGCGGCTCCCCGCCGGAAGTCCCGCCCTACCCGGAAGGCCCGCTCCAGGCTGAGGCCGCGGTGACGCATCAGGTAGGCGGTGCAGACGGCGGCCGAGCGGCTGCGGCCGTTCTTGCAGTAGACGAGGCAGGCGCCGCCGGCGCGCACCGCGGCTTCCATGGCGGCGCAGGTGGGCTCCAGGTGCGCTAGCAGGTCCTCCGCCGGGTCGTCGAACACGGGCACGCGCAGCTCGGCGATGCCGGGCGCGCCCGGGCCGGGCTGCTGGCGCGAGACGTTGACGCACAGGGTGACGCCCGCGCGCGCCAGCGGCTCTGGCGCGGCCGCGGCGCGCGAGCTCCCGAGGAAGAGCGAGGGGGCGACGCGCACGAAAGGCGGCGGGGGCGCCGTGGCGTCCGCGCGCCATCCGGCCTGTTCCGGGTCCATGGTCGGCCCGGGAGTCTTAATTTGGGCAGCCAGGTGGCCGGCCGACGCCCCCGGGTCCCTCAGGCCGCCCCTCCCCATCCCGGGGCAGGCCCCTGGGGAGGGTGTGCGGGAGCGGCCACGCCCACAAGGCCCTGGCCGCCGCCTCATTGGCCAGGTCTGAGCGGGCGAGGCCTCCTCTGATTGGCTGGCGGTGGGGGTGCGGCCGTTAGCGTGGTCATCGGGAGAATCTGATTGGCCGCAGATATGTGGGCGGGTTCAGGTTCCTGGATTGAATAAGCCCTCACCTGTGCTGGAGGCCAGACCCGGGCTGGCTGAGAGGCGCGAGGTCTGAGAGCTAAGCACTAGCGGTTCTGTTGCACCGTGAGGGTTCCAGCTGGGTCGGGCAGAGGGCGGCCGGCTTCCCAGGCTGTGGCTGACGCGCTGAGCCAGGGCCCTATCGCAGAGTCTCATCTGCGCACTGACCAGTCATTACTTCTCTTACAAGCGCATTTACCTGTTGAGATGCCCCTTCGGTTCAGTCGCTCAGTCGTGTCCAACTCTTTGCGACCCCATGGACTGCAGCACTCCAGGCCTCCCTGTCCATCACCAACTCCTGGACCTACTCAAACTCATGTCCATCCAGTCGGTGATACCATCCAACCACCTCATCCTCTGTCGTCCCCTTCTCCTGCCTTCAACCTTTCCCAGCATCAGAGTCTTTTCAGACGAGTCAGTTCTTCGCATCACGTGGCCAGAGTATTGGAGTTTCAGCTTCAGTATCCGTCCTTCCCCTTAGTACAGCTTTATGTTTATTCCTTTATGTTCTCTGCTTCCTAATAAATTACTGTGTCATTTCTGCATTTTATTTTATTGTAAAACATGGATATATAAAATAAAGCTATTTACCCTTAGCATTTCCATTTTTCATAGACTAGTGTTTCTGTGATTTTTCCTCTTTTTTGGGTTATTACTGTAGCTTTAAAGAGTTACACAGTTTCCACCTAAGAAGACCTCTTCAACAGATTTTTCTGACGTCCAGTGTCTTTCAGGGGCCGGTTTCACTGAAAATTAGCTGTCTTGCAGAGTGTGTGCATCTAGTTATTGGTGTTTCAATTCTATTCTAATAATACTGAAACATTTCTGATTTTCAATCTGTTGGACCAGAAATTTTTCTCCAGTGTAGGGATCCCCAACCTCTGGCCCATGGGCCAGTACCTCCTGTCAGCTCAGTGGCAGCATTAGGTTAGAAATAAAGGGCACAAGAAATGTAATGTGCTTGAATCATCCCAAACAAACCCCCAACCCCAGCCCATGGAAAAGTTATCTTCCATGAAACTGGTCCCTGGTGCAGAAAAGGTTGGAGACCACTGCTCTAGTACATCCCTGCCCACCCCGCAACACACACACATGAACACACACTACTCGTAAAATGAACCTCTGCAGTCTTTCTGGGTGACCTCCATTCTCTCCATTCCATCCAAAGCTACCAAGCTTGCTAACTGTCAGATATTTTTTGCAACTTGGTGCTCTCTCTTGAGCTCAAGATTGAAATGTTAGTCTGTAACCAGGTCTTCACTGGCTGCAGGTCCAGACGTCACCTACTTCCCAGCATCCATGTCCCTTTCTGTGCCCTAAGGAGGGATTCTGACTTTTCCTGAATGGGATTCTCATTTCCCCAGAGTTCACAGGAGCCATCCAGCTAGGTGGGAGTACTGGTCCCCCAGCTCCAGAATCAGGCTTCTGATAACACTCCAGTCAGAGACATCTATCCCCGTGATTGCTTTAGGGCAGGGTTTGGGCTGTCATATGAACCAAAGAGGACTTCCCTGGTGACTCAGGAAGTAAAAGCGTCTGCCTACAACTGGGAGACCCGGGTTTGATCCCTGGGTTGGGAAGATCCCCTGGAGAAGGAAATGGCAACCCATTCCAGTACTCTTGTCTTGAAAATCCCATGGACGGAGGAGCCTGGTAGGCTACTGTCCGTGGGGTCACAAAGAGTCGGACACAACTGAGCGACATCACTTTCTTTCATGAACCAAAGATGGGAGAGGGGCTTGGAAACCTGTCCTCTCCTTATGACCACAAAGGGAAACCAGCCTTGGATGAAACCACATGGAAGAAACCATCCTCAATGACACTTGGGTACTGAAGCAAACAAAACCTGAAGAGCCCCCAGCTTCTGGACTCTGGTTTCCTGAGCCAGCCAGTCATCCTTTACTGTCGGATGTTTGAGATGAGTTTTCTGTTCAAAGGCCTTTTAACTGATGACCTCACACTCCTTTCACCACCTTGAGTTAATGAATGGGTAACAATTCATGCTGAGTATCTCAAGTCCATTCTCTCCCTTGATTGCTATGTTTGTTTACAGGACACTCTTCTGGACTTGACACCATACTCGTGCAGGGAGCCTTCTAGCCTTTCTCACTGCAGCCAGAATACACATTTTAAAGCACTGAGTTTCTGAATGTTGGTCCTGATTCAGCAGTTTGGCAGGATCCATTAGTGGGCTGTGAAGGAAATCAGTCCTGAGTGTTCATTGGAAAGACTGATGCTGAAGCTGAAACTCCAATACTTTGGCCACCTGATGTGAAGAACTGACTCATTGGAAAAGACCCTGATGCTGGGGAAGATTGAAGGCAGGAGGAGAAGGGGACGTCAGAGGATGAGACGGTTGGATGGCATCACCAACTCAATGGACATGAGTTTGGGTAGACTCCGGGAGTTGGTGATGGACAGGGAGGCCTGGTGTGCTGCATTCCATGGGGTCGCAAAGAGTTGGACACGACTGAGTGACTGAACTGAAAACTTAACAAGATTCTTAGGTTGGGCATTTTTTTCAGTTGAAACCAGCTGCCCACTAGGCCTTGGCCCAGTGGTTCTCAAAGTGTGGTCCCAAATTTCAGCAGCATCTGGGAACATGGTAGGAATGCACACTCTCAGGGTCTATCTAGTCCGGACCTGCTGAACCAGAAGCTCTAGGAGTGAGACGCAGGAAGCTACATGTTACCATGCGCTCCAGTGATTCTGATACAGGACAAAAATCTAAGCATGATTTGGTCAATATAAAAAGCCACTTAAAAAAAAGAAAAGCCACTTAAAGCTTTTCTCTGTGGGTCAGCAGAGGCTTTGCTCTTAGCGCACTTGGCTCCGGGCTGTGCCTTCCAGTTTCCCTTCCTTTCTTCCTGTGAACTTAAAAGCACTTGAGAAACAATCTGCTGAAAGAATCCTTTTGGAATTTTTTAAAAGATTTTTTTCCCCCGTATATCCTTTACAGTTGTCTCACATGCATCTAATTTGATTGCAGTTTTATAAAGTGACTTTTGTTGACTTTTCCAAGCCTTCAGCTGAATTTTAATAGAAACATAACTCTGCTTCCCCATCCACATGTCATCAGTCATACTTCACTGAATTTCATAACTATGATAGGTTCAGCCAGCATTTTCAGATTTGCAAACACTGTGACTGGTAACATGAGCAACTAACATGCTGAAAACCAGTCGTCCTAAAGGTCAGTTTGCTGAATTTTTATCAAGTTTACCAATTCACCAAAAACTTTAAAAACTATTATTCTTGAATATTGTCAATAAATATTAACATATTGTTCCTATGAAAATTTTCTTTTTGGATATACTCTTTAGTATCATTGTAGGATTTGTATCAATCTATGGAAATAAGGCTTTTTAATCTTTGTTTTTTTTTAAAAAATACCAGTGCACATATACTTATGAACATAAACAACATTTCAGCGTTTTATATTGTATTTTCCAGTTTATAGAAGCTCCCAGAACACCTTTTCCTTTGTGGCCACATGTTAGTATTTAGAATTGCTTTGTCAGTCTTCTGAAATTGTAAGGTTTGCTAAAAAATACTGTTACCTGTTTATAGAGTTTCATGTGAGTTGCCTGGGGCTTCCCCAGTGGTTCAGTGGTGAAGAATCTGCCTGCAACGCAGGAGGTGCAGGAGATGCTGGTTCCACCCCTGGACAGGGAAGATCCCCTGGAGGAGGAGATGGCAACCCCCTCCAGTATTCTTGCCTGGGCAATCCCATGGACAGGGAGCCTGGCGGGCTACAGTCTGTGGGGTCTCAAAGAGTTGGGACCAACAGAGTACAGCACAGCACTTGAGTTTCCTAGAATCAGTGTAACAAAGAACTGCTTTTGAAGTGGTATCGGAGAAGAATCTTGAGAGTTCCTTGGACTGCAAGAAGATCCGTCCTGAATATTCATTGGAAGGACTGATGGTGAAGCTGAAACTCCCAATGCTTTGGCCACCTGATGGGAAGAACTGACTCTTTGGAAGAGACCCTAATGCCGGGAAAGATTGAAGGCAGGAGGAGAAGGGGACAGCAGAGGATGAGATGGTTGCATGGCATCACCAATTCGATGGACATGAGTTTGAGCAAGCTCCAGGAGATGGTGAAGGACAGGGAAGGCTGGCGTGCTGCAGTCCATGGGGTCACAAAGAGTCAGACACAACTGAGCACCTGAACTGAACTGAGCTGAATGTAACAAAGCATCACAACCAACCAGTAGGCTTCAAACAAAAGAAATATATTTTTCGGTGTTTTGTCTGCAAATCCCCCTGTCCTTGTAAGGACACCAGTTGTTTGGTCTTCACTCAATTACATCTGTAAAGACACTATTTCCAAATAAGGTTCTTTCTCAGGGGTTAGGACTTCAGTTTATCATTTGTGGGGCCGGGGGGTAGGGGGACCACTGCTCAACCCACAACAGTTCAGTTCAGTTCAGTCGCTCAGTCGTGTCCGACTCTTGCGACCCCATGAACCACAGCATGCTAGGCCTCCCTGTCCATCACCAACTCCCGGAGTTCACCCAAACCCATGTCCATTGAGTCAGTGATGCCATCCAACCATCTCATCCTCTGTCGTCCTCTTCTCCTCCTGCTCTCAGTCTTTCCCAGCATCAGGGTCTTTTCAAATGAGTCAGCTCTTCGGATCAGGTGGCCAAAGTATGGGAGTTGTAGCTTCAAAATCAGTCCTTCCAATGAACACTCAGGACTGA